ACAATACAGCAACATGAGCTCAGTGTTCACTGATCAGCCGCAGTGTGTTTACACAGGTTTTAATGATGGACTGCAGGAGACTGAATGTAGCTCTGAATGGATGTCTGTGGTAAGATACTTTTTTCCACCTCTTTTTATTTCACAATAATCAGCAGTGATCTATGGAGGACCAGGGATGTCACAGGAAAAGTACTACAGCATTTCTTTAATCTCATATCTCAACAGACATTAAAAATAGGAATTATAAAAAGAATTTATCAATGAACAATTAATGCATAAATAAATACTTTAGATAAAAAAAATAGATTCATGAAAACAACATAATACTCTCTCTCATAACAGGATTTCCCTTTACAATTTCCATTTCCTTTTTCCTGCTGCTTTTCCTTTTCCTATTACTTAATCGTTAGCTTAGTCATTTAACCTTTCTGTGACACTCTGGACCTTCAGTGGTTAAACCAGTCAAAACTAATTGGCCATGGGATGCAACAAGCTCTCTGATTGGTTGCATATATACTACTGAAGTATTCCTTAGTAAAGAAACAGAATAACAAAAACAAAACAGTGGCCGAGTTGTAGCCAAAAGTTACATCATACAGTATGTCCTCCATTAATGATGTACCCACTGCATAACTGTTGGGAGTCAGTACCAGACATTGTCACAGGTTCATTATTGGTCACTTCTACAAAAGTTTTCTAAGCATGAAAATAGCGGGAACCATAGGTCCTGCAAAATATAATCACCATTATGTTTTTCTAAAGGTAAGAATTCAGCTATTTGGTCCAGTGGTCCAGGAAAATCTTAAAAGTTGAAGGAGATATTTTTTTCCAGAATGGAAGTATACACAGAGTGATAAGGTGAAATGTAATTAGTGGAACTGAGGCTGCCATCTTTCCTGCTCTGTGCAGAATAAAACCAACAATGAGAGGTATCTCTTAAAAACCTGTTACCAACACATTGATGAGTTGCATTGTGTAACTGGGTGATGTGTTCCTTCATCACCATGAACACACACTGTAGTTTATTTTGACTCAGCCCCACACACACCTGCTGCCAGAATACTCACTAGATGTGGATTAATCTGCCCGTGAAAATAGCCCCCAACAAATTGCACCATTTCCTTCTGTTTGAGGAAAGTCTGTTAAACTGCAGTGGTCAGCTGTTTTGGGATATTACTGAGATTTTTTATTTTATTTTACAGGGAGACTATATTACTGTGAGCCGTTTTACAAACCAGTGGGTTTGTAGCTGAGAGCCACAGACAGGAAGTTAGACAGGACTGAAAAGTGGTCTAATACACTGACCCTTTGAAGAGTGAATGATAATAACATTGTACTCAATCGTACAGTGCTGTATGAATATGAGCCAAACACTTGAGACTGTGTGTGGTCCATCAACACGAGTGCAGAGAGAGCTTTGATGAAAAGATAGAAACAAGTGGGATTACTGGAAATTGGTTTCTCTCGTAGCCTCTCATCATCTTCTTCACGCTATTCAGGCGTGAACAATTAGTTGATACAGTTGCTTAGCAACAGTAATAATATATGTTTCCCACAGGAAATTAGGTCTCTAGTGAACGTAATTCCTATTAATGTGTTAAAGTGATAATAACTTTAAATGAAGTAAGTAAGTTCGGGGGGTTTGATTGACTGACAGGTGTCTCCACCAATCAGAGTCTGTTGTGGTGGTTTCTGCTTGCTCAGCTTCAAACGGTCACCCAGTGGTAATGATGATGTTGAAACTAAATCACAAAACATCCCCTCAACTAAAACTAAAGTGCAAAACCTCCAAAGGAAGGCGCCCAGGAGGCATCCTAATCAGATGCCCCAACCACCTCAACTGGCTCCTTTCGACATGAGGGAGCAGCGACTCTACTCCGAGCTCCCTCCCAATGTCAGAGCTCCTCACTCTATCTCTAAGACGGAGCCCAGCCACCCTACAGAGGAAACACATTTCAGCCACTTGTATCTCATTCTTTCAGTCACTACCCAGAGCTCATGACCAGAGGTGAGGGTCGGGCTGAAGATCGACTGCTAAAATGAGAGCTTTGCCCCTCCCTCTCCACCACGGGGTACAATGTCCGTACTGCTTATGCTGCATCGATCCGTCAGTCAATCTCCCGCTTCATTAACCCTCACTCGTGAACAAAACCCTAAGATACTTTGGGCAGCAACTCACCCCCAACCTGCAGGGAGCAGTCCATCGTTTTCTGGCTAAGAGCCATGACCTCAGACTTGGAGGTGCTTCACACTTGGCTGCAAATCGTCCCAGTGAGCACTGGAGGTCTCATTCTAATGAAGCCATCAAAACCACATCATCTGTGGAAAGCAAAGATGCAAACTGGATGATGTTTTCTATTACTGTAATGGGGATGTGATGTTAATTAACACATCTGATCTTACAGACCAATCTCCACTTGTAATGAATGCAGCATCATTCAACGGGTTTCTGTTTCTGTTCAGAGTCTCTCAGCTCCTGGATCAGGTTAGAGAAAGATCCTGGGCTCGTTTAATATACAGAAAAGTTCCCTGATGGGACTGTGTGAACCTGGTCTCTGGTGGGACTGTCTGTGACACAGTGTACACTCACCATCCACCCCACCCACCTCTGGTGAATTGTTGCACTTCATTCATTCAAAACATACATTGCCTCTGAATACAGGAGGGCGAACAGCTGTTGGAGACCTAAAGCAGCTCTGCTCTCGTCCCTCTGTGACACTCGCTGTCACATAATGAAGTGAAACTAAACTGCAGGTCATGTGTTCAGTCATTCAGCAGGACACTGGCTCACAGTGCTGGGGTCTAACAGCTGTCACTTCACAGGAAAACACCAGATACTGGACTTGATGTTTGTATGGAATTCTTATATTGGGTGTCTGAAATCATTTAATGATAATTATTAAAAACTCATTCTTCTGACAGTAAAATGTGTGATACATTCCTCAGACACTCCTGATAAGGTCAAGATTATAATTAGCAATGTTCAATAAAAACACTCAAGATAGCATCAGTTGAAATCAATAAAACTGTAGCCACTCAGTATAATCCTTGTTTTACTGTAGAGGACAAAGTCACAACAGTGAGCGGTGGAATAATGTGCAGTCTGAATTATCATTTCTCCTATGCAGTCATTAAATGCTGATATATCCCAGCCCTGTTATTAAAGGAGTTTTGCTATTGCTACATAGCTAACATAGTTTACTTATCAGTCTAGAAGGAACATTGTGAGTTCAGCATCAAACTTCATTCCTTTACTACCAACATCTGTCTCCAGAGGTGGAAACAAACACCAATGTTAATTTTTGTCTGTATTACATATTTTCTTCTACTTAAATTAGCATGCTAACCAGCTAGCCCAGGCCCGCCTCCTCATTGTAGCCTCCAGTCTGTCCTGAAGACGTAGCTACTCAGAGGATGTATTATGACTATACAATCACCACCGCCACAAGAAAACCACGTTCAGCAGCAGAGAAAACAGACAGATCGCTCCTTTAACCCATTTAAAACTGTTACTGCAGTACCCTTCATTGCCACTAGACTGCTTCATCACATTCTAATGCGACTGTTATACATATCAAAAAAACCCTTTATAACACTGACATGAAGAGAGTATTGTAACAAACACTGTAACATTGTTGCTTTAGTGCAACATGTTGAAACATTAGTATGAGAACTTTATTGTAACATTTGAATTTGTACTACAGAGAAATAACATTCACTTACAACTGTACAGTGATTATTCAATGTTAGTGAATCATTCACATTATATAATATGCAATTTAGTCGCCAATTAACCTAATGGCATATCGTTGGACTGTGATATGCACACACTGATGTGCTATAAAAATCTTTGTGCTGTCTTAATGTCAACAAACTTTATTAAGTTTTAGAGCTTTGATGCAGCCATTGTCTTGTGGTGTAACCAGGAAGTGAACAGCTCTGGTAACACATCACATATTTCAGTGAGAGCCTTTATCATTTCAATATTTGTTTGAAATGCACTGATAGAACATTCAGCAACATTTTTTTGGGCTTATAACTGAAAATATTTTTACAGGCACTGTTGTGACTGATGGGATTAAACAGTTTATGCTGCCGTGTGTCCTCACTGTGTCCACACAGCTGACTTCATATTATAACCTTTAAGCTCCTATTTGGGAAATTTAATGGCTCCAAATTGTGTGACTTTGCGGAGGCTCGTCATACTGTGTAATTACAGTATTTCATTTATAAACTAAATATAAACTACAATAAGGATTCAGTGTCTGTTTATCTACCTAAATCTTATTTATAATGCAAATTGCATATCTTAGGCACGTGACCTGAGTGTTGCCAGACTCTGCTGTCTGACTGAGAGCCTTTGAAGTGTAGAGATGAGTGAGTGTGACTCCCTCCCCTCCCACAGATTTGTCAAGGTGCCCTTGAGCAAGGCAGTGACTAGAGTCCAGCCGAAGCAGCTCGGAGTGTGTCCCCTGTGGACTGCTCCCTGCACCACAGATGATGAGGCTGCTGAGCAGCTGCTGTGAATGTGAAGCAGGCTGTGTGTGTGTGTGTGTGTGTGTGTGTGGTGTGTGTGTGTGTGTGTGTGCTGGACCTGGCATCAGTGTGAACAGTAGTAAACAACAACACACACATACAACACACACACACACACACACACTTACAACCATCGGTTCAGTCACTGAGGAAGCAGATAGTGAGGGAGCGTCTGTCACCGCAGCCTGTTAGCGGCACTGCAGATGGACTAGAGCCGAGTCAGCTCTCACTCCGCCTCGTCCTCCCCCTCCACACTCTCACACACACTCACACATACATACACACACACACACACACACACACACACACACACACACACACCATGGACGCAGCTCTCACACCCCTCCGTCGCTACGTTTAACCCGTGTCGGCTGCATTCAGACGCGACCTGACGACACAAAGACCCGGTTTCCTCGTCGCTTCCGCGGACACGTTCAGAGCGGTTTCCAGCTGCGGAGCGGAGCATGAAGCGGCTGTTTGTCAGAGCGGTGGAGGACAAAGCCATGAGCCCCTGGCTGCTCTTCGCTCTGCTCGGACTGTGGTAAGTGTGAGGAGGGAGGATGTCTCCATCACGGGGAGAGGAGAGGAGAGGTTGGTCTGGGTAAATGGCTGCTGATGCTGAAGCTCATGTCCTTGTACTGATCAGGAGTCTTGTGTTGTACCTGAGATCACAGTGTGATGGCTGATGGGGCCTCGGAGGAGCAGGTCTGATACCCTCCGCTCCTGCTCCGCCGGGAAATGGTCTTTGAATGAACCGACCGTGAGCCGTTTGTCTGCATGTGTCTGATCCGTGTGAACCCGCTGCTTTACTGGATGTATTTGGCCACTGAAACGAGGAGACTCGGTTCTACCTGAATCTCCCTCCGTGTCAGCCTGAAGCTCATCTGTCTCAGTGCAGCAGCAGGATGTCATGTGGCTGTTGATGGATGGCCCTGGTCCTCAGAGGACTCAGGATTTCACCCGCCTCAGTCGCTCAGAGGTGTGAACAGTGTCCTGGGGAGGACACAGGTGAGGACAGGCCTGTGTCCTCCTCACCTGCGTCCTCACATCTGGACATGTTAGACACTGCAGATCTTTATTCAACAGATCTTTCTGTACATTTAAATTTACAACCTCCACCTTGTAAGATGTGGAGTCTGGATGGAATGCGTGCCTATAAATGTCAAAATAAAAAAATAAAAATAAGTAAAAATAAAATAAAATTAGTCAATTATGGATTTTTTTGCAATCAATGCTTTTACATCAAGTTTTAATTCAATTCAAATCATTGCTGATTTGTCTCTTGCCTTAATATTTACAGTTTTCATTTATTGATCTTGAATTAAAATACACACATGAAGAAATGTAAAGTCAAACCAATCACAGCTCTGACTGCTGTCTTTTGAGGAAAAGTGAAGCAGGGTGGAGACATTTCCCATAATGCATATGAATATCGTCTTATTAATTGTCAGTGCCTTTCAAACTCATTGCTCATAGTTTGTAACTCCTTCCTGTTCTACATCTCCAGCTCAAACTGAGATGACATCACAATGACATCACAATGACGTCACTGGTGTTATTTTCTCATGCTACGTCCACCGTATTACGTTTTAGTTTAAAACTCAAACTCCAGAGTTTTTGAGGCGTTAAAACATAAACCTTGAGAAACGCTGCTGGACCTGTTTTAGTTTGAAAACTCTGGGGTTGTGCTGTAGTCTGGACGGACAGAAACTGAGACGCTTTGGAAATGATGACATCACACCCACGGTCTCTCCTGATTGGGTCTCATCAGCCTCGACAACCAGTGGTGAAAGCTACATGGATAATGAATGAAAGTGTTACTGACCTTGTTGTCTTTCCTAGCAGCTGTTGTTCAGTTTAACTCTGCATTTTAACGCTACAACTGTCTTCGCTGCTCCTCGGTCAGAGTATTTTCTGCAACTAATCAACTGCAGAGTAGACAATCTACTTCCTGTTTACACAGTGTACATGAATGGTCATGTGATATGTGTTTTCAGGTGTGTTAGTCTGGACGGAGATCGTCTGTGATACAGAGCTAAAACGCTCGTCTGGGCAGAGTGTGTTTTACGTTTTAAAATGAAAAGGTATGAGTGTGGATGTAGCCTCAGACTTGGCTGTTTTCACAGGCTGAGCGGGGCATGATTAGTAAACTGTACCTGACATGTATAATATGTAGGTATGCAGGTGTTCTGTGTGACAGGATTATCTCTCCCCCTCCAGGTTCCTCTGACCGTGTGAGCTTCAGTGTGTAGATGTACAGCAGCTCAGACGATGTTTTCACATTCGTCTGCTGAAGGGAAATTTTCCCAGTTGAACAACTTGTCTGGGAGCCGCTCAGGTGTGTGTTGCGATGACACACAGGTGTGTGTTGAGACAGATTATTAATGAATATGAAATCCAGTGGTGCTCTAGTACCGTTGCTTGTTACAGCAGCTGATTAAAAGTCTGTAGCACTGTGGTCTCATTTCTGACGTGCAGAGGAAGGCTGATTTCACTGAGGTGTACAAGTACTCACTATGAGGGAACTTAGTATATTACCCAAATGTACTGACAAAGTGAGATTTTCACTCGTTAAACTAGGCTTCTGTTACGTATGATTTATGGGCAGCTACTGTATGCAGAGGTTAATTTGAGGGAAAAAGTGAAGGGTTTTACGCTTCATCGGTTTGTTCGATTCATGTGAACAGATGAATTTAAGAAGGGCGTGAATGTGTCCTGCAGTTTTAAGTGTTAATTGAAGAACAAATACTGCAGCTTCAGACTATCCTCTGTACTGTACCCGCCTTGATTTCCTTCTCCGTGGCTCTTGGAAACTGTGCAGCATGAAAAAAGAAAAAAAAAATCCATTTGATTAAAATGCTGGGTAATTAATCAGTATGAAATAGTGGTTAAATTACATGTTTAAAAAAAGCTGCTCTTCATTCGCTCTTCAAAACAGCAGCTTGAATAAGTGAGAAGAAGAGGCTCTGAACAGATTAATGATGGAGTGGTGTCCCCATGAAGGGCAGCGGTCCAGCTCTAATTCAACCAGGCCTCAGTGGTCACAAGTTTCCGGAGGATTCTGCTCCCAGAAATCCTCAGTCCTGAAGCCTCCATCAGCTCAGAGACTGGACCGGTGCAGCGCATCAAGACAAATATATAAAAGTGTCGGTTTTCAGGACCTCTCAGTGGCCTCCTGTAGCTGTGTTGTTATAGCTTCATATTCTGACCATTTAAACACAGCACACACACAGACTGTATGAACAGAGGTTCACAGTTTTCTTTTAGCTCACTTCACTCAGTAATATGAAAAGATATTTCATGTTAAAGCTGGAATAATCCTGGCGATGCTAGCATGAGTTAGCCAAACTGAAAAAAAAAAAACATACTTCTTCTGCCTCTGCTTCTTTGTCTGCTTCTTCTTTGTCTACTTATTCTTCTTCTGCGTCATCTTCTGCTGCTGCTGCTGCTGCTGCTGCTGCTTCTGCAAGAAATATAAAAAAAGTGTTTGTGAGGTAGATGACCTAGCCCGGCTTTAATAGATGGATAGAGTTAAACACACATGTTGTACCACTGTACAACTTCCTGTATGTGAAAGTACACCACAGGTGAAATCTGTTACTTACGAGTTGGGGATCTCAGCTGCTGTAGTCTGTAGCTGTCGAACAGAAAGACACTGCATTTGTCCCAGGATCCATGTGTGTGTGTAAAGAGTCCATGGGGGTACACACACTGTAGGTTTGTGTGGAGACATTAGTAAACACTAAAGGCCATGACATGACTTCCAGCTCTCCACTTCCCCCTGACTGTGTCTTCCAGGCAGAAACATTGTGTTTGTCACCTCTCAGATTTCCTCAGACTCTGATTGACCTCCCTCAGCTGAGCTGGAGATGACCTGTGCCCTGACCTGAACCCGGGATCATAGTGTGAGCTTGTTTCTCATCAGATCTCTCTTCCTGGCAGCGCTGGTGTGTGAATGTGTGTGTGTGTGCACTGCAGAAGGACCTGACTGTGTTTCTTTAGAGGTCGCTGAGAGAGAGCACAGCGTTTTAGAGGTGGTGTTCTAGCTGATGTTGCTCTCTGAAAAGAAACATCATCCATCAAAGGGAGGTAATGCATGTGTTGACACGTGAGGAGCTCCTCCCAGATTCCTCTCTGGGTGCGTTTGTCACTGCCACAGTTATCTGAGAATTGTTTTATGCACTTCAGCATTTCTTCTCAGAGGAAATGTGCTTGGTGGGTTTGGATGTTCTCTGTGCAGAGAACAGGTCAAGAAACAGTGAGTCCATCTACACTGAGGGAAATCTGAAGCTCAGTTATATCTCTAACAGAACTGCAGCGATACCTGTTCAGGTATCCGTGCGTCTGCAGCATTGAGATTAATGTTATCCATGTCTCAGGATCCATATTCTCATTGTATGTTCTGGTTCTGTGTCACCATTGACTTCATTGATGTCTGTATTGTCACACGATTTTTGATGGATGTCACTATCAGATTTCCCTGTCAGTACAAGTCAGTGTTTCACTGTGTGCCACAGCTCCAGGGTCAGGGTTATGGTACTGTCCCTGTTTCTCTGTTTCCTTTGAACCATGAAACCATGAAAGTTTTCTCCTTAATGTTTCCTTAAAATGTTCACTGAAGTATTTAACATTTTCTCCTTATCTTAGTTTTATACTTGAAGTCAGTTAAACCGTTGAACAGAAGCAACCTTAGCAACAAACTAAGTAAAAACTAAAGGTACCTTTGACTCTGTCTTAACTGTCCTGACTTAAGTGACGAGTTTATGGAGAAAACTAGAATCACCTCCGGGTGGTCGTCTGCTTCCTCCACTCAGACTAGTTTCAGGTCACATCCCTGTTTATCCAGAGTCAGAGAAAATATCAACCATTAGTGTCAAACCTTGTCATAATTGCTGTGTGAAGTCTTGAGTTATGGCTAAAAAGTGTTTTGAGAGGTCACACTGACCTTGATCTTTGACCTTTGACCCACAAAATCTAATCAGTTCATCCTTGAGTCCCATTGCCTTTGGAAATTTGTGCCAAATTTCAAGGGATTCCTTTGAGGAGTTCTCGAGTCAGTTCTGAGTGTCAAGAGCTGGATCCCTAGACTTTCCACATTTTGGTAATGCTCTCAAGTGCTAATGGCAGAAAATCAATGGTCTCCATGGAAACAGTAGAATGTTACCGCCGTAAACTGCTAATGCAAATGCCTCAACTTCTTTCCTTGACTATGGAAACCTTTTAAGAGATTCTGTGCAATACTCTTAAGTAACTCCCTCATCTAAGGAGAAAGTGTCATACTTAAGTGGAAAACTTAAGGTGTTTTGTGTAACCAGCCCCTGCTTCTTACACATTTGTCAAACAAAACCTAGCTTAATGTTGTAATGTGACCAACTGGCAACAAAACAGGAACGTCTTGTAAGTGCAGGAGGCGCAGACGCACCCTGTCGGTTATCAAGAGAACTTCTTCCTCTTAAATAGTCGTAAAGGGAATGATCGCAAATGATCCACAGAGAACCATATCCTAATGTTTTCCTCTGTGACACCATGGGACCATAAAAGAACAAAATCTGAATATACGTCTAAAGTCATGTAGGGAATGGACTGTATGTGTTCCCATGTGACTAACAGGGAACCACATGGGAACGTTCTCTTTGTAATGTTATTAAGTGTAGTACAATGAGTGCTGCCTCATCCAGAACAACTATAGATTTTGTCGCAGGAAAAAACATTTTTTCTTCCGTTTTTAAATAATATCAGAAACATAATCATTAACAAAGTGCTGTGTAGTGAACAGCTGTCAATGCTTCAGACCAGGAGAACTTCAGCCCTGTAACGTGGTGATCAGCTTTGTTGGTTTAATCAACCAGTGGAACATCTGACAGTGGAGAGAGGCTCCTGATGCAGAGACGGACTGAACTGATGTGGAATCAGTGACTCATCACTGAACGTCTCCAGGCTCCAGTTGAATCTACACTCAGCATCAAAGTCACTGTGACTTAAAACTGGAGCTCAAGCAGCAACAAGCACAGCTCAGAGCTGAAGGCAGAGCCTCAGAGTTACAGTGAGCTCCACTTCTACAGTTTGAACTGTCTGTGAAGAACAGAGTGACTCTAACTAGAAATACAAACTGTGTTTCCACATATGAAGATCAGTCTGGTTCATTCAGCTGCTCATTCAGCTCAGACTGAAAACTGTAACACAGTATAAACTGAATCTGACACAAACAAGATCAAACTGAACTGTTGTGAGATGTAGAGAGGAATGACAGCCCGCTTCAAATTACATCTGTAAATGAAGATTTAAAAACACAATGAAACAAGTTACAGGACAGGCCTAAGTCAGTTTTATTCCTACTGATGATGATGATACTGTGCTTATTTAGATATCTGTTGATATCTGTTGTTGGGAACATGGTGACATTTATCTCTGAGTGATTTTTATACACAAATTGTTTCTTATTCAGATCATGGTAACATGTTCTATTATAGAGAACTGGGAGTCTGTTTTTATTTTTGTATTAAAGGTCTCATATAGTGTAAAGGTAGATGTCCATGTGTTGTTTGATTATAAAGCAGGTCTAGGTTCTATATTAATACTGTGAAAGTATCAAAGCCTCAGTCCACAGAGAAATACACACAGCCTGTATTCAGACACTGAGCCTTAAAACCAGCTGTCAGGACTTCTGCAACTTTGTGATGTCACAAAGCAGTCACCGCCCTGAGCCATGCCCCAAGCCCCACCCACCTGGACCCCCCATCCAACCTTGAAGGATTTGGTTTCTCTGAGTGTTTGAGTGAAAACACTCTAGAGAGCCAATCAGAAGAGAGGCTCAGAGCCTTATTGTTTGCTTTATTGTGTGCTTGACTGACATTCAGTGGACATGATTCAGAGCAGTCACTCTGCACTGGGTTACTGTGTCACGTCCTTTGTATCAGAACTTGTCCAGGAAAGGATCATTTAACAGCCCGGGCTGAACGCCAAGTCCCCGCGTCTCTACAGCACCAGATCCATGTTCATTAACAGAACAGCAGCAGTACACCTTGGCACAGACCGAGAGTTCAGCCGTGTGGAACTGTCTGTAACACACAGCAGGACAGGACGGCAGACAACAGACACACACACACCTTGTCTACATGTAAGAACATATGTGATGTTAAACTGGCTCCTGATTTAGTTTTAGATTTAGTCTTTTGATGAAACTCTATATTAGCTGTAATCGAATTTTAGTCAGATTAGAAGGAGCTAACCGCATCTGTACCAGTGCAGCAGTGAATGACGCTACAGGCTACATGTAAGGTACATGTAGCTGCAACACTTGACAGAGGTTGAGAGGTCTCAACCTGTCAGCTCTGATTGGACCAGAGACTGTCCATCACTCATCAGAGGAGATGTTAGCAGAGATGTGGTAGCACACCCACTGAAGTTGGAGCAAAACAGACTTCAAGCACAAAGATATTATGGTGCAGGCTGCAGCTTTGTATGTAACCATCATGGTATAGACAACCTGTCAGGACATCAGTATACGGATGGGCATTCAGAAGCAGTGTAGTGTTTAGCCTTCCTGTGTACTTTCAGATATACTGCTTGTTGTGTTTGTGACTTTTCAATCACCTTCCCTGCAATGTTCACATCTTTGGAGAGTATGTTTTTACTCTTAACACTGAATTTGCAGAACCAAGCTGTTAAATGATAAAATGCTTTCAACCAGGCTCCTGCGTGTCATTTCAAGTATGTGGTGGCTAATGCTAAAGCTCCTCAGCTTCCTGATCAAGAACAAGACTAGGTCAAAACCTAATATATGTCTGGACCACCTATGGTCAAATCCTCAAAAATGACCAAACACAGTTAAAGACAGACTGAGCTGTGATTTCAGCTGAATTTACTGTGACATGATCAGAGAGTTATTTTTTCAGGCCAATTGCCTTTATTACAGTCATAGTGAGACAGAGAGAGAGAGAGAGAGAGAGAGAGAGAGAATGACATGCAGCAAATGGCCACAGGCCAGACTTGAACCTGGGCCATCGCTGCACAGACTAATCCAAAATGTCACGTGCTCCACCAGGTGAACCACTGGGGCCCGAGACACTGTCTTCCTTATTTAGTCTCTCACTCAGAGCACAGCCTCCGTCTGGATCCACAATAGTTTATCTCTTAATTGCTTCAACTCCAGAACGTAACAGACTTTTATTAGAGGCAGGTCTTTATGTCTGACTCCCTCTGTTTGATATGTAGAGTTGGTCATAGTCGTTAGTACGAAGCCTCGTTACCGATTTATTCTCTCTCTCCCTCCCTCTCTCCTGCTCTCTCTGCTTGGTGTGTCTTATGTTTAGTTCTTCCTCTGCCTCCTTTAGTAATAATGATACATGGAATGAAAGTAGTTCATTTGCTGTGATGGAGGCAAGGCTCAGTGTTTTGGAAGCACTCCTCCTCTTCCCTGCAGTTACGGAGCAGCAGGGAAACCAAAACGGCTCAGTAGACTGAGGTTCAGCTGACCAGTGGTGGAAATATCATCAGTCAGTCAGTCAGTCAGGGACATTCCAGATTATAGGGCTGACCCTGCTGCTGTGGTCCAGCCAAAAAATGTGTGTGCTATTGTTTAGCTTGTTTAGACCAAGATAAATGGTGGAAACAAGAGAAATTGAAGTTAAGACCTACAGTCAGGGCTGGGTGATATAGTCTATGAATAATATTGTGATATTTTTAGGATATATCACGATACGCAACAAACATCTGGATATTCTGGAATCTCCTTTAAAGCACTTCATCAATACACAATTTAAACCTTTGGTGCATAAATTCACACCAGCGTGATGATTCTAGCACCGGCTTAAAACAATTATGTGACAATCAGTACTCAGTGTTTGTGATATAGATGCCTCTACTACAGTCAACCCTCTGGAGGGTGTAGAGCCAGACAGTGAAGCTCAAGACTGGTATTGTGTGAATCAAGATGTCAGTCCTCTCCTTCAGCCAACACTAAGTAAACCAGCTGTCAGGAGAAGCACTGGAGATGACAGAGACGCAGCTTGTGGACAGGCAACTGCTTGGGGCCCCAGGCTGTTAGAGGGCCCCTCAAAGACCGACAAATTTAGCTCCATAGCAATGTCTCAAAATGAAGTTATTCAGTTATTTATCAAGGTTTTTATTCTTGTTTTTAATATATATTTTGAAAATTACAAGGTTTTCCACGTTTTATATATTTGTATTTTGAAAATTCTATTAATGTGAACATCTGGAAATAAAAAGGTTTCGATTTTGTACATTTTTTGTTGGTGTCAGATTATTTATATAATATATAACAATGACAAAACTAACACATTGCTCAACTCTGACCACAGAGCTGGATCATACCTGCATCAACACTCTTTTGGCACTCACACACACACACACTCAATTACTGTATATATGAATACTACATATCTTTGTCTCTGACAGTGTTTTTCTCCTGCTCCACAGTGCAGCATTTGGGCCCAGTAAACAGGAAGAGGAGGACTATGAAGACGTGCCCATCAATAAGACCTGGGTCCTATCACCAAAGGTCTACGAGAGCGACGTGACTCTGATCCTGAACAAACTGCTGCAGGGCTACGACAACAAGCTGAGGCCTGACATCGGAGGCAAGTGGAGCTCATTCTCATTCATTCTCTGAAGCATCACTGTAAATCGGCATTTCAATGCAACATGAATTGAACAAAACAGGAAAAAACAGCACTAGCAATCGATTAGTTTACTGACAATCCTGTGTGTATGCCTGTAGGTCTGGGTGATATGACTTCAAATCAATATCACAATTATTTCAAACTTTTACTGTGATTATAATGAATGAATGATTAATGATTATCTTTTTTTTTGAGCAATGCACTCTTCATATTCTTCAGTGTGATTGTGTCCAGATGAATAAATTAATCTTTACCTTTGGTCACTATCCACGTTGCACTCACCACTGTCTGACTGTCTGAACCCAAATGCAGACAACACAAAAAAGGGGGTTGGTTGGAAAAGAGGTGTTTTAATAACAAAAAAGTACAAAACCAATTTACAAAACCAATCCAAAAACCAGGCAGGAACAAAAACCAGAAAATCCAAAACACTGGGAGCACAGGAGCACGAGATCCCGGGGGACACTTCACAAAGACAAACAGCCGAACTGACAAAGACAACAGGGAGCATAGAGGCTAAATACACACAAGGGGAACAGGTAACGAGACACAGGTGTAACAGATTAACAATCACAACGGAGGGAAACTGGACAAAGTAACAACCACAAGAGACTCAAGGCAAGTGATTTCAATGTAAAACAGGACGTGAACAAAAATCCAAAACCAAAAAGTCCAAAAGAACGAGTCCCTTCAGGGTGGACCATGACACAATCAGGAGGTGAGGCAGGTGTCATCATTTCTGTCGGCACAGAAAACAACACAACCTCACGTTTTCAAACTAAAATGAGTCCAGCAACGTTTCCAAAAGACTCAAAAACTCCAGAGTAATGTGGACGCCAGGTGTTTGTGCTTGTGTTGTCCATATCTTCACCTTCACTTTTAGTGAACGTTGACTAATGTTCCAGTTAGAGTCACATGACTGAACATGAGGAAGTTTTTTTTAAGGGGACAGTTTATGAACGCAGCATTAGGGAAAGTATTAACTGAATTATCTGACATGAGAAAGATGAAGTCCTGAGAGGATCTAAATGTGGCTTTGATATTTGGTCAGTTACTGAGCCCAACCTGCATTTAAACACCTGGCCCCATTGTCTTCACCTTTATCTGGAGATCCACATTGTGCAGCAGTTCAACGGGGATTGATGCAGCTGTTTGTCATCGTTCACTCTGTGTGTGTCAGCGCAGTGTGTCTTGTGTTGTGTTTCAGTGAGGCCAACAGTGATTGAAACAGCTGTGTACGTGAACAGCATCGGACCAGTGGACCCCATCAACATGGTGAGACTGTGCTTTTAACACCCTTTACTAATGTTACACAACAGCATGTGCAAGCTACACTGAAAATGTGTTTTTACTAGGGATGTCCTGATCGGTATCGGGGGTGATCGAGGCATTTTGTAACTAATTGGGATCGACTGTTTAGAGCATGAACCTTTACTTTTCACATCAGCTGTCACACAGGTGTTTTAAATGGCTACCACAATTTATGGCAGGACACAGCAAAAATGTCTGCAGTGTGGAAATATTTTAAAATGGAAAGTGGCAAGTGGAAGGTGTAATGCCAGCATTTCTCGAGGCGGTAGTAACAGAGCTGCGTTCAATACTACCAATTTGATACGGCACCTCAAAAATAAACACACCAGAAGCCGATCGTGGTGGGAGATATCACAGGTTTTCCGCTGACTTTTGGAGCTTTTGGAGCCACAGTATGCTCCATCCTCTCGACACTACATTTCACATACTGCCGTACCAGAGCTTTACAACAAGGTTTGAGACCACCTACGAAGTCTTTTATCAGACGGCTTTTGGCTTCACCACAGACACTTGCCCCTTGTCATTGCTTAGTCTCGCTCTACACTGGATCAGCTCCACTTTTGATTTACAAATAATAAATAAAAAAACAGTAATGAATTAAGGATTCAGGACTGATCGGAACATCCCTAGTTTTTGCAGGTTTAGTCACTGGGATTCATCCTCTGTGGACTGTGAATGTCTGTACAAAATCTAATGGTAATGCATCCAATAGCAGAGTGACAGTTCATTATCTCAAAGGTATTTTTAACGCAAAACAAATCTTCAGTCCACACATTAGTTTCTCCAGGAAATGTCACAATGTCTGTTGATATTTTAAGATGCACCTTCAGACCTACTTTTATTTTCTGGCTATAATTTTTTTTTTACTTGTTTCTTTTTTTTTTTTTTATCTGATTCACTGAGTGTTAAATTGTGTTTCAACTTGCTTCTATTTTTATCTTGTTTCACTTCCACAACATCTACTGTCTATTTGCATTTAAAGTGCTACATAAATGAAAGAAACTTGAAAAACTTGTGGCACTGTTTTTAAACCGCTGCAGAATGCAAGATCACGTTAAAAAATAAAATGGGCACCAGTCACACCTCGAACTGTGAAATAAATGTAGAAAACATAATAGAAATGTGAAAGTTCTGTTTGTCTCGATGGGCGTTTGAGTTACATTATTCATGTACATGATGATTTATCCACTAAGTCTATTTCCATTGCACCTCAGCCAAGTGTAAAAGCTTTTCTGCTCTTTGAGATTTTTCATAAATTTCCATTTATTCTACTTGTTTTTTGTTTTTTTTACACAAATTGAAAATGTGCTTAAAAACAGTTGAATGGAAACCCACCTTAAGCAAGTTAACCTTGATTTGAGATATCTATGCCTCATACGGATGTGCATTCGTGTGAACATGATCTCATCATCATCTGTCGCAGGAATATACCATCGACATCTTCTTCGCCCAGACGTGGTACGACAGCCGACTGAAATTCAACAGCTCCATGAAGCTGCTCATGCTCAACAGTAACATGGTAGGAAAAATCTGGATTCCCGACACATTCTTCAGGAACTCACGTAAATCTGACGCCCACTGGATCACCACTCCCAACCGCCTCCTGAGGCTGTGGAGCAACGGGAGAGTCATGTACACACTGAGGTAGGACAGTGCTGCAGCCAGTTAGCTGACTTCTCTGATAGTCATTATTAATGTTGAAGTATCAAGTCTTTGTTGTCTGTGCAGCTTTAGTGTGTGCATCTGTGTTTTTGTCACGTAGTTCTCTTGTAGGTGACCCCGGTTAGTCACAGCACAGTCTGATGGTCATATTATTTCTGCATTTATGGTATAATTACAGAGAGAACATTAAGTACCTGTACTGTGTTCAGTCACATTTGGGAGGGAAAACAACGATGCTGAGACTTGCTTTTTCTCTGTCATAATTCTGTTTTTGTCAGGTTGACTATTAATGCGGAGTGTTACCTTAAGCTGCATAACTTTCCAATGGATGAGCACTCATGCCCACTGGAGTTTTCAAGCTGTAGGTGGTCAAATATTTTCCCCTTCCATTTTTGAACCCGTCATCTCGACTTCAACTTCCCCAGAGAGAGGGGCTTCTGTGTGGGCTAGCGTAGTGGCTAAGCCCCTGTTTCTAATTTTTTTTGCCAAAAGCTTCATCTGCTTGAGGCTGCCCTCTCTAAGCCTGTACCAATCTATCATCAGCTCCACCAGCGGAGAGAGGAGGTCACCCAGTCCCATTTTCTCTGACAGACTTAATGAATTATGCACCCTCTCCCAGTCTGATTCATGCTGTCTGTGTCATCCTTCATTTGTCTCCTTCATTGTGCTTCAGCTGCTCATGATCTCAATCCTCCACACACTAGTGAAAAATGCAAAGACCATTTCATGGAGTTGAGGAGAAACGTCAGGACCAGTACAGTCGCACTAAATATCATCAAATGAGCCCAAAACAAAAACTATGATACGACTAAAGAGATCTCACCTGAGATACAGCAGCATTGGTCTTTTGTTGAAATGGTTAAAGAACATAAATGTGGCTCGTGAGCAAACATCCTCTTGCAGTTGTGCATAATGCTCTCTCATTAGCAGTGATGGCAGTAAACCTTCTCAAGGAGGAGGTCAAAGCATGTGACTCCAACACCAGAGATCTGGACCATGTCCTGTCTTCTCCTAGTAGTCAGTATCAGTTCTCAATTGAGAGCACCTATCCCAAACTTTAAGGCTAACCATAACATTTTTCCTAAGCTAAAAGGAGCTATTTGTAAGTTTAGCTATTGCTGCATAGCTAATGTTAGCATCAGCAGCTGTTTACTTACCAGTCTAGAGGAAATGTTGTGAGTTCATAATCAAACTTCATTCGTTTACTCACCAACATCTGTCTCCAGAGGTGTAAACAAACACCAATGTTAACTCTTGTTTCAATCACGTCTTTTCTTTTACTTAAGTTAACATGCTAACCAGCTAGCAGACTTTCTCCACACTGTAGCCTCCAGTCATAGCTGGAGAAGACGTAGCTGTTCAGAGGATGTATTATAACCTCTTGTATTATAAAGACAACAGTGGATGAAGCTCTTGTCAGGTGACAATCACCACCACAAGAAACCACATTCAGCAGCAGAGAAAAAGATCGCTCCTTTAACCAAGTGGTTTTATTTGCCTAAAGTTACCATAACCCTAGAGGTGGAACACCAGAATTGCCATGAGAAGCATTATGGTCATTTTTGAATGCAACGGAAATAGCCACATTTTGCAGTTTAGCTAGGAGGACTTGTGAGATAATCCAGTTTAGAAGCTCAACAACCAAACTTCATTACAGATGTATTAAAGACAAAGAAAATGTTACCTCCTCTTTCAGTTACTTCCAGATTGTGTACTGACTGGGAGTAAGCACTAGCTCATATCTGCATAAACTACCTACTACTGACTTATAGGAACACCTGTCAAAACTCACTGTCACCCACCACATTCTGTAGCACACTGACTGTTGTTTACAATTGAAGACATGTTGCTCATTTGAAGACATTTCATGAGACTGAGGTCAGCTCCATCTTGAATGCTTCCCTTTTGCTTTGCCATGGTACGATGTTCCCCTGTGATGTGCATTACACTGTGTGACAGACATTAGCTTCCTGTTGGATATTATAGGCATCAGTAAGGCTGAGAGTTAATCTACTGTGTCTGTATGATGGGGGGGCGGGGTTTCTGTAGACGGTTATCCCAAGAATGAGATAATGTACCGGTGGCAGAGACGGGCAGTAGAGGTGGCAGACCAGCGGTACTGGAGACTCTACCAGTTCGCCTTTGTAGGATTGAGGAACACCTCTGATGTGGCTCACACCCAGTCAGGTGAGATATCAGGCACTGCTGTTACAGAAATATAGGTTTTTGGATTAATTTCAGGAGTACAGTTCAACAACAACAGAACAGAGGGGGTCAAAGGTGTTGGTACCCGTCCATTTCATTTCAAAATACCTTTAATGTCAGCATGCTTCAGAAGAACACAGCTTCGTTTCAATCAGGTGTAAAGGTACCAACAATTTTGACTTTGATTGTAGGTCCAGTTTGTTCTTGTCCTTCTTGTGTTACCATGGTGCTAACAGGTAATATGTATGTGTGCAGTCCTCTCACCTGCACAGTGTTTTTGGGTAGTCCACATGTAAGTAGGTAATTCATGTTGAAATGACAGGTATACATTAATTCTACGAGAATGCATATGCTCACTTTTTCACTTTGAGGCGTGTCAATTTCTTATATCTGTATCTTATTGTTCAACTTTCAGGTGAATATGTGATCATGACGATCTTCTTTGACCTGAGTCGAAGAATGGGCTACTTCACCATTCAGACCTACATCCCCTGCAGCATGATCGTGGTCTTGTCCTGGGTCTCCTTCTGGATCAATAAGGACGCCGTCCCAGCACGCACCTCTCTAGGTTTGATGTGTTGTCATGTTATACACAGCTGAACTAAGTCACTCTGTGAATCACTGTACCGGCCACTTCAACCCAACTTCAACTGAAACAAAGGCTTTAAAGGTCCTGAGAACTTATTTTATCAGCCTCTTACTATGAGTGATGGGATCTGTTATGAAAAAAAATGGCACATACATCCTTGCACCAATCAGGATTTAGCAATGTTTGAGTCATAATGACGACAGTTAAACAGAAAAGACACTTTGTACAAAACTGATGTTTCAGTACAACATCCACCTGTAGTGACTCCAGCTTCATGAAACTGTTTATGGTTCTGTTCAGACTCATGGACAGGGCTGGGTATCGAACTTCAATACTTTTACAGCTTAAAACTAAAACTAATGTAAAACTAACATTTGTATAGTAACATGTAATGTAACTTTTTATGCCACTGCGACAGCCAGAGTGGGAGGCATATTGTCTTCGAATTGTACATCTGTCTGTCCCTCCGTACCAGCCGTCTCATTCTCATGGACAGTATCTCAGTAACACCTTGAAGGTACTTCTTCAAATTTGGCACAAACATTCACTAGGACTCAAGGATGAGCTTATTGAGTTTTTGTGGTCAAAGGTTAAAGGGCAAGGTCATGGGGACCTCAACAAAACACTCTTTAGCCATGACGCAAGACTTCACAGCAATTATGACAAAATTTGACACTAATGGTTCATATTTTCTATGACTCTGGATAAACAGAGATGTAACCTGAAACTAGTCTGAGTGGAGGAAGCAGACAACAACCAGGTGATTCTAGTTTCTTGTTATTGGGATTTGATAAAATTGGTATTGAAAAAAGTATTGCTAAGTTTCAAAGTCAAGGTATCAGTATCAGTACTAATATTGAACATTTTTGAATGATATCCAGCCCTAGTCACAGAACTTGGTTCAGGATGGAGAAAGATCCTGGTCTGGTTTAAGACAGAAAAAGTTCAGTGACTTCATCAGGCACTACCTGTTTATTTACATTGAACCTAAACTACCATCTTTCACTGAACTTAACCAGAGAGCTGCTGTTGTCTAAACCTCATCACAGACTGGACTCTGAATGTGAACCATTCATTCAAAAAGTATGTTTCCTCTAAACATGATCCAGTCAGCGATCACATCACCTACACACAACAGTTCAGTTGTATAGAAACATCAGGATTTGTCCAGCAGATGTGTAGTTTTATCTCAAACTTCAGTTCCTCTTCTGCCAGTTCTCAATGACATTTCACATAGTGGGAAATTCAAGCTGAGGTGCTTTGATATCTTTTTATAGCCTCTCCTGTTTTTTAGACATCAGTTTACTTCATGTTCAGATCCTCAGTCAGTTGCTCAGACTGGAGAAGAGAGCATGGTTGTTGAGTGTTACAGCAAAGAGACTTCATCATCACTGGAGCTGTCACCAGCTGACAGATCCTAATGACAGCTCTTAACTTCCTTACAGTCCTAATGAGTCAATTTAGTTCTAACGAGTTAATGAAGTTCTGAGTGATTTAGAAGTTGAAGGGTGACATACAACTGTAAGTTCGTCTCTGTGACAATCCATACAGGTATCACCACTGTACTCACCATGACGACTCTTAGCACCATCTCCAGGAAGTCCCTGCCCAAGGTTTCCTATGTCACTGCCATGGACCTGTTCGTCTCTGTTTGCTTCATCTTCACCTTCGCCGCCCTCATGGAGTACGGCACTCTGCACTACTTCACCAGCAACAGACAGAACAAGAAAGCTAAAGCCAACAATAACACACAGGTACCAGACAGTCTATACCAGCCGACAATGACTTGGCTGGTGCTGTTTTCACCATGTGTGTGTGTTTGTTCTTGTTTTACTATATTTGAGGGGTCCGCAGACTGGGAGCCCACTACGCTTGTGGGGTCTGCGGAGCTTTGTGGGGACCAAAATGCTTGATCCCACAAGTTTAAAGGGCTGTTTGAGGGTTAAGGGGTTTAAGGGAAAGAGTTAGAATTAGGTTAAGGTTAAGTCAAGGTTTGTCATCGCAATAGCATCACAAGTATGGAGATGGGTGTGGTCTGACCCATGACTACTGAGTACTGTGTTTTTCTTCTCCACAGCAGAAAGCGTCCAGCATGGTGAACATTCGACCTGGAACGTCCCTTCTGCAGATGAACAACATCGTGCCGTATCACGAGGAGGACGACTACGCCTACGAGTGTCTGGATGGAAAAGACTGCGCCAGCTTCTTCTGCTGCTTCGACGACTGCCGCTCGGGGGCGTGGCGCGAGAACAGGATGCACGTGCGCGTTTCGAAGATCGATTCATACTCACGAATATTCTTCCCCACCGCTTTTGGCCTTTTCAATCTGGTTTATTGGATAGGTTATCTGTATCTATAAAACCTGGAGTCCTCACAGAAAGAAGGCTGAAGTTTAGCATCTGCAAACTTTTCACAGGAGCAGAGCTGCTGCAGAAATAATAACTCAGAAAACACGTGGCAAAAAGTAAACTCAATTAAAACCTGAATACAAATGATGAAGAACAGGATTGAGGTTTGTTCCAGAGAAACACAGGTCAACAGTTACTGGTTAATGTGCCATTAAGTACAGAATGGGATATTCATTGTCTCCAGTGGGTAATCTCTGATGATTATGGCAACCGTTTAGCACCACTTTTACAATTCCTCTTGACATGACAAAACTGAATTTCCATCAAATTTGTTGTGGATATTCATGATCACCAGGAGATTCACTCCAAAAATTCCCACTTGTACACAAGAAATATCAAAATCTAATCAGCAAATTGACAAAAATGTGCAGAGCAATTCATCCTTTATAGATGGGTCTGCCTCTTGAATATTAGGGCCCTGCTGTTCAAGGTGGTGTATCCTCTTCTTGAGAATTTTTGTTCACAGCAGAAAAAAAAACTCTAATTTGCACCAACACCTCTGATTTAATTTCCACTTAAACAAACCCTTTGGCACAGAGCACCATCAACCCATCCATCCATCTATTCCCCAGAGTGGCAGCAAGTTTAGTGAGGTAGCCCCTGGGACAGGATATGTAATCCCTCCAGCTTGTTGTGGGTCAGCTGGACATCCGAAACATATCCTACTCACAAACACCTCAACCCACCCCTGTCAGTGTAAAAGAGCAGAATGAGTGGCTAAATGACATCTCTAGCAGAGGTGCTTTTCTTTGTTAGCAAAATACCACGACTCACAAAGTTCCAATGCTAAGGGCTAATTACTTTTAGCAAAGAACAAGAAAGAAAACAGTGAAGTATATTTCGGCCTCGTTTTCATCCAGAACTTTCTGTCACTTTGGCCAGTTAAAATAAGACATTACATCAGCTGTAGCTAATAAATGTTGATTCCAACGACACCTGAAGTGAACAGGAATATAAACCTCATTCTGATCCAACTTGACTTGATACTGGATTTCTGACTCCACCCACAGCAACTCTGACTATGAAATGTTTGCATCAGTTAAACTCCAGTCTACACACTGAGGAGATATTGCCATCAAACGTAAAAAAAAAAAAGAAAAAAAAGAAAAAAAAAATAGCCCAAAAGTTTGTTTACTCTTTGCTACCATGCGACTGATGTTGTTGAGAAGCAGGAAAGAGGAGGAATGCTGCACTTTGTAGCTGTAATATGGACAGAGGGTGATTGTTCCCTTAGGTAAAGGTATGTTCCCTGATAGTCTAGTAGATCTGAACACAACCAGGGAGCATATCTTTGTCCACAGGGTTGTATTTTTGTAGGCGACACCTCATAGTGTTGTGATCTGTGGGATCAGACGGCCTCCACTCAGAGGCTTCCTGCATGGAATGAATTTGTAAAATCAGTCAAACAGTGAATTGTAATGAACAGAGATGGTTGTTTTTCCCAGCAGCCAGATTTTATACTCTGATGTATCATAAGTCACAAACAGTGGTAGAGCTGTCATTGACGAACTGTTCAGTCGGATGCTTCTACACCGAGAACACCTGAGTTCACTATTTCAAACGTCCAGCTCTAAATTGTGAGTTTCCTCTCTGAAGGTTTGTCCTTTACTACACAGCTCATTAAGTTACTCGAATTTCCTTTTCTACAGTTGTGTTGCATGTCAGACACTCACTATGTGGACAGGTGAATCTGAAACACAACAAATGAACACACACTGACACAAACAGCAACATCCTCTTCGAAATGATGTTTACAACATTTTCAATAGTGTCTGAAAGGCAGCTGTCCGTAGCATAGAGTCAAAGGAGCATTTAACTATGATATACTGAAACATACAATATGTTATTTTCTGCCTCTAGGGGTCTGAACACAAACGATAACAAAAGACAGAGTTTGGCGATGTCGTGAAGTAGTGTGGGATCATGGGAGTTGTTGCAGTCAGAGGTTTTTACCGGGAGCAGAATTATCCACAGAGGTCTCCTCTCTGAAACAAACAGACCTGGTGAGTAAATCCAGTAAAAAGTAATAAAATAAAAAAGTAAAGCAGTTTTACCTTAAAAATCAGCATTTCTCCAGTATTGTTTGGTGGACACAGGATACTGTGCTGTCTAACATGTACTCAGCTTTTTTCTCCGATAACTTAAAATCCAGAAAGCCAATGACTAAAATCCTTAATTTGGTTAAAATATATAGATAAAAACCACTCAAGATCTAAAATGTGAACTGTAAAAAGTAGCTTAAAACCGAATAAAAATGTATTGAATGAATGATTGAAAGGTTACCAAATGACATGAACCGTGACCATGATTAAAATCACAGATTTCTCTTCTTTGAGAATTGATGGAAACAGTAAATCCAGTAAATAGGCAGAGGTTCATACAGTCATCATGTAGTTTGACATTTTCTAGTTTACCCCGAGTTACAGGTTGAAGTGAACCAGTTGAATCTTTTCACTGATTCTAATGAGACTGTCCTCCTGTAAAAAACAAGCCCACAGGTCGTCTGTGCAGCAGGTTATTATGACCTATAGTTACGTTTTGTTGCTAGGCGACATCTAGTGGTCGTAGTAATTACGACAGGATCAAAGGGAAAAGTGCGGTGATGTAGTATAAAGAGAGACAAAGTCCACGTCAGGAGGAGGTTGTGGTGGACGGATGAATATGACACAGGAGAGTGGTGTTCAATTCCCATGTGGAACTACCAGTGTATATTGTTTCTATTATCCATGACTGTTCAACAGAAGTTGTTAATGTTGTTAATATTATATCCTTGGCAACAAAGATAGTCTAATGTTGAGGAAGTACTTAAATCCTGATCTTTTCCTAAACCCAATCAAGCCATGAAAATTATTATAGTAACCATGGCAAAGAAAGTTACGCCACTCTCACTATAGTCAGCGTGCTTATAATTATAACCATGACAACCAAGGTCATGGTTGGGGGGTGGGGTGCTCTTTCAGGAGACACTGCTATGGGTCGTATCAGAGGGAAAAAAACGACCTGTGTGGTTGTTCAGGTCGGAGGAGTTGTTGTTGGTTCTACCGGTTCGACCTTCATGGTCTAGGACCACACGGGCCACACCTCCGTATACTGCGTCCTCTGATTTGGAACACAAAAGTTCTTTGCGCTTTAACAAATGTGTAAACCAGAAGCTGTTAAACAGTTTTCTTGAACCTTCACCATAATCACAGAACATTCTACTTACTTTCTTTAGTCTAAAACACTGTTGGTCTAAAACACTTGTCCTGTTTTCAGATCTGCTAGCTAACCAGCAGTGAACTGTGCATCCACACACACTGAATTATTCAAAAAGAAACAGGTGAAAACTACTTCAGGTACTATCTCATGCTCTAAAATGAAGGACTGGAAATGTGACGACACAGACACCACAAGACAACAACACACACCAACATCCGCCCATTAAACACAAGAGCTTCTTGAACCTTACACACACACCAAAGAAACTGTCATACAACAGATACAACTTCAGTATGTGTCCTGTTTAAATGTCAAACAGTCTGAACCCTTAAAACAGCATTTCTCTGTCACCAAGATGCCATCAATCTGCCAAGTTTATAGAAATTTACAGGAGTTATAGTTATAAATGAACCCACATGTCAGTGATCAGTAATGTCTGATAGGTCTGTAGTTTTCAACCATACAAGTATCTTAACAGGGAATGTATTGAAAGCCACATTAATCTATGCAAACATGAACATTACTGCAGTCACTCTCTGTGATAACCCAGTTTACTTTCTCTGCTCTCAACAAGGGAATTACAGTTTGTTAAATCATTTTAATCTGTTAATGGTGTTGAAGAAACAGTAGATAATCTTTATGAAAATGTCCATATAGCACCAAAACAAACATGACTCCTGACTGAGAAACACTAAGGCTAAAACAGCTGAACCTGTCGTGTCTGAACCAAACTGAGTTCATGTTTCTGCTCAGTTTATTGATCCACCTCCCAGTTACAACTAAAGCAGTTTCTAAAACATGACGGACCAGACCAGAAATACTGGTTCACCTTTTACCTGCGGTGATTCTAAAGAGTAAAAGTAGAATTGATGGTGTGTCAAACAGACCTGCTGTAAACCAGTTGTCTTGATGAATTCAACATAAAGTACATTTCCACAGATTCAGCAGGACTCGACTCTCTGCTGCTCTCAGCTTCTCTCTGATGAAGTGATCTGTACAATGTGTTTCTTACACAAAACTGCAAAAAGTCGAGGCAACATTTTCAAGACAATTCCAACAGTCAAAGAAACGGTAACATTACCGCCGGCTAACATCAGCTAGCTAATTAACTCGGTAACCTTAGCGATATTTGTCTCTTCAAAAACATTAATGTTTTATCCAAAGACAGTTTGAGTTCAGCTAGCTAGTTAGTTAGCAAGCTAACACCAGCTAGATAACTTACCTGGTAACAATAGAAATGTTTGTCTGTTGAAAGACATTAATGTTGTATCCATCTTATAGCTAGAACCTTAAAATACAACATGGACATACAATGACACAAAATATAAGTTAAACACAAACATCGCGTTACAGTGAAAGAATAGAAGAATAAAAACAACAAACGTTAATGCGATTTAAAGGAGAAAGTGAGAGCAGCAGCGTGTGAAGTTTGATACAGTGGAAACATACGTTACAGTACTTATATTGCCCCCTCAGTGTATTTTATTTTATTAGTGATGCCTTTATTCGTTCGTACCAGTCAAAAACACCAGCCTTTTAAACTGAGACTTTACAGTAGGCCAGTTTGAATATCTAAACTCCTCACACTGTAGAGAACAGTGATCGTCACAGTCATCAGTGCTCCTCCGCCACAGTGTCACTGTCTCTATAGATCACACTGAGGTTTCTCTCCTCACCTCTGTGGTGGTGGAAACCCTCATTAGGTTCTGTTGCTTCCAGTCACATTCGTCTTAAAAAAACAAAAACAAATTCA